GCCGAATCAATCAGAAGAAAATGGTTCACTTTTAATTCCGTCAGCATGAACTATGCGTTTACGCAGTTATTTTTATTAAGTACTTTTCTTGGTTATTCACATGATCAGAATAGTACTTACCTATTTATTTTTTAATTTTCATGGAATTATTTTCCAGCAGCTTGACTGCATTAACCTTTCTCGATTTCATATCATTTCTAGAAACATGTGGATTCGTTTTCCGGTGGCATTCCAGAATAGGTTCCTAAATTTCTGCTACCGCAGTTGTCGATTGATTGGTCAAACCACCAACACTGACATAAAAACTGGGCAAGTTGACTTGGGGGTCACACCGATAGGTGGTTCCACCTATTGGTGTGACACTCTCTCTTGCATTTACGTAGTTATTTTTATTAAGTACTTTTCTTGGTTTTTCACATTTTGTCTTCAATCGAGGACTGCCTGTCCAGTACTGACGATGCCCAATAAACTGAAACAGCTGCTACCGGTGGCTCCTAGATTGGAATCAATATGGGAATGATCAGAATAGTCCTTATCTATTCATCTTTCGGTTAGGTTTCCGCGGTCAGTAACTTGATATACTGTTATCCGGGTTGAACCGCGTCTGAGATTTTCATGTTTTCGACGTTTCGGCTCCTGCTTGTTCGCAAATCAGATCCAGCATCATCTCTCTTCAAACACCACCAGGAAACAGGCCACACAATAAACTTCGAAAACACTAAGACCATTGCCACGGAGAACAATCTTCAGGCCAGGATAATTTGGGAAGCAATCCATGGTCTTGTTTTGGTGAGTTTTCGTCTTTGGGAAGTGCCTAGGTTGCTCATCGATAACCAACCACTTCGTGGACAGTCTGATTGCAGAAAGTTAAAGTGAATCGCACCAGCCGCTGACCACCATACAGTAACCATGGTCTTTTTTGGTTGGTTTTCGCCTTTGGGAAGTGCCTAGGTGACTCATTGATATCCAGCTACTATCCTGAACGCCTCCTGTTGTAGCAGAGGATCCACTTTTCATCACAGGTGATAATCCGATACAAAAAAGGATTGTTTTAGTTGCGCAAAAGCCAAGGATAACAGACTTCATCCAAATCTTGGAGCACCCACTTTTTAGGTTTTTTGATCTTGCCAATATGTTTCAAACCATCAAAAACCGCATGGTAGCCGACATCCAGTTCTTTGAATTCGTAGAGAGAAATTGTCCGAAAATCGTTTAACGACATCATATAGCTGAAAAAAGGCAAAAAAATTGAAATTTGGAAAAAATGAACAGCATCATTGCATAGAGAGCAAAATTATCTATTGATCAGTATATACCACGACACAGTAGAATAAATATTTATTGAGATATGGAGCTACAAAAACACATGACATCAAAACTTTCGAAACAACCTACTTTTTTATCACAAAGTACTAGAAGTAACTCCTTTTTACAAAAATTTTGTCAGGCTCAGATGTCTTGCCCTTTTTCAAAAGTTATTTACGTCCTCACTGTATTTTTAACAAGGAATAAATTCTAATCGTGAATGACACCAAACTGATATTTTTTTCCTTGCAGTTTCAGTTAGGCGGCGATATTTACAGGGAGTTTTATCAGTCTCTAGAAGTCTACCTCGAAGGAGCCCAGAGTAATAATTGCGGAAACATTAAGGATATTTTTCTAAAGAATATTCGGAAATATATGGATCTCGAATTTGATAATAGATGAATGGTCAAATTCATCTATTAACTGTCCTATTCAGTATATATGTTGTGATATTTAGCTAAGCAAAAAAATGTATTTTGTTTTGTATATTGCAAGGAAAATATCTAGTACTCGAAGGTATATAGAGGGAGATCCAAATTAAGTATGCACCATTGGTAACTTCATTATTATTGGAAATGCAGTTTTTTTTTAATGGAAAGCGCTATATGTAATATTTCTCTTATATTTTTCTGGTAGAAAAAGGTATTTCAATTATAAAAGCATTTGATAGTTTTTTTGTAAAGTGGAAATTGAAGGAGTTCTGAAGAATGAATAGAAGATAAACCTCAACTTGATTGTTGAAATAAACATTTGAAAAATGATTAGTGTGTTCACAACAGATGTCCATTTTGTCGCCATTAATCGCAAAATGAAGTTTTGATATGTTATGCTATAATATGTTGGTATTGAAACAGCAAATCGACAAAAATTCCAGTTCAGTATATTTTTTTCGAATGCGCCACAGTGGCATTTTTCTGGTAATGTTGGTCCCAGTCCACCCTTGTTTGAACACTTTGTAACCATGGTCCTGCCATCAATAGCTTGGAGAATATTTCTGTTTTTTTCTGTTGAATGATGTTCACATTAGCATAGCATTCCTTAAAAATTTCATTCTTCAAATAGAATTAAATAGTTCATTTGACTACATTATAGACAGCTGCATATTTATAGCAGTTAACAAAATGAAAATATCAATAAAAGTATGGTCGAATATACAAGTAAATAAAAATGCTAACACATTTAAAATAGTTTACATTTCAGAGTAAATAATAATAAAGGGGGCAATAATATAATTATCATGAATTTTGTATCTGTCATAGTCCCTTGTATGACACACTTCTCATATTCCTCCAGTGAATAAAATAAATTTTCGACTAGAACAGATTTAATGACTTTTTTGAAACAGAACATTGTTGATTTTTAAGTTCACTAGGAAGAATATCATACATTTTATAGTTCCAGCAAGTTATTCAAAGATTTGGTTAGTCCTTTGGGTACTCTCCTGATATTATGCTGGTGAATATCAGATTGTATGACTTTGGCAAATTTTTATGAATCTCAAGTAGAATATTCAAAATGAAAAGTGATAGAAGGGTCATAATCATCAACTTTTTGATGAAAGTAGCTCTATACATGGCACTGGCCAGAATTCTTATACCCTTTTTTGATGGCAAAAAATGATATGTGCTGCTGATGAGCTACCCCATAACAATATTTCATAGTGAAGATGAAAAAGAAATATATGGTTCGCAGAGTGTTGAGTTTAGTCATTTGAGTCAATTGATGGCTTGGAGTTCAGTTGCCTAACATGACTCCACCAGCAGAGCTTCTCATTGAGTATGAAAACGAACAATTTTTTCATTTTTCTCTCCTTGTAGTGGTAACTAACAGCTTCTGTGATTTTTTGGTGTTTAGCTTGAGTCTGTTTGTAACAAACCATTCTTCAGATTTATCCTTGGCTTCTGCAGCAAGGAATCATAATTTTTATTACTATATGCAAGGGCGGTGTCATCAGCACATAGAACACTTTTGAATTGAGATAAACATAGTCCTCTCATTTATATAACACCACAGAAAAACGTCAAGGAGAACTGGGAGGCCATTGAATAAAATCATGTATTTCTATCTATTATCAAATAGTGTCACTGATATGAAAAACCAATCAATAATTCTTCATCCACTTATTCCGTAACAAACACAAATACTAGAACATATCCAAGGACTTTTTGGATGTAATAAAAAAATATTTCTTCTTCACCACTAACGCCGGTTTATTCTGTTGTATATTCCATAATTGGAAAAGTTGGAATCATCAAACAACAACAAATTACAGAAATTAGTCACATTCTGTTGACAAAAATCACGTATTATCATCTCGGGATTCCTGTCAGTGATGCTCGAACGGGTTGATGTTTATGAAGAACAAATTTGTTTTGTTTTGAGAATACTCTGCTGCATTTCACAATATCGATTGGAAACTTTTTGAGGAAGTTAGATTTTAACTTTCTACTTATCCAGGACAGTAAAGGTTCTTGACAGGCATTGTTTGGAGTTCTCCTGCTAGGTATTGTATGAAGTTTTCCTGAAAGGATTCAATATAGTTGAGAAAAGTAAATTTTTAAGGTTTCACTAATTATAGAATTCTTTTTTACTAATAAAAACACTTATAATTTTGTCGAACTTTTCGTCACATTTCAAAAGATATAGTTGATCAATAGGGTACAGTTCGGCGTGGAATACGGTCATTCACTCAAATCTAATTTTGCGCATTTTTTCAATATTTTGATGGTGCTTGTGAACCATAATACAAATAATTATTGTTTTCAAAGTACGCGACTTTAAAACTGTGCTTTTATCAAAATCTAGTGTGACTTCACAAGATATGTTTTTTTGTCAGTACACCATCTAAACCACATCTTAACTATTAGAAACTGAAACATTAAATGGTTGATAGAAATATTTCATGTTTTTGAATTTTTAGGTAATAAATAAATGAAATTTTGTCCTTCTTATTCATTAATAGGTATTGATGCATTCAGTTCATCAAGATTTTGAAATAAATGTGTTTGATGTATTTACATTGAAATGATCCTGCAACAAAAACAAGTTCATTTACGAACTATTTTCTTTGTGTAACTATTTTTAATGAGAGAGAGATATACATTTATTATCTGAAAGATTGAACAATCTTGTAGATAAACAAATTAGGGCTTAAAATCTAGGATTTATACAACTAAAATAACTTCACATAGAGTGAGATTGTTAATTGAAAACAGTTTTTTTGTGAAATTATCATATGATAAATAAAAGTTAGAATATAGCAGTTAGGGAATGTAGTTAATAATATACAAAAAACGATGAATGAGGCAATAAAAAACACACTCCTCAAAACTCTAGACGATCCTCAAAAAACTCTTCAAGCGAGTAATACCCTTTCCTTGCTAGGATAACCTTCAAGTCCCTCCTGAATTTCGCTTGATTCACACTATTAGTCAGGATAGCTGGCAGCTTTTTTTATTTTTGGTATTCATATTTTTACAACACAAGCAGATAAATACAAATAACCAAAAAACAATTTGAACTTTCACACAGCTTATACGGAAACGTCCGAAATCAATGGCGACTTCAAGCCGGCTCCGCATTTCATATATCTGGTGACGTCACGCCCCTTTTTGTTGAAGCACTTCTTTGAGGTTGTTTTCTGAAGCATCTGAAAAATGAGCTTATTCTATTGCTCTCGAAAAGCATATACATATGCCAGAGCTATCCTGATACTTCTAATTTTTGAATTTAAGTCCAATTGCCATGTGAGCAGCTCAGCACTTGAGCAGATAGGTACAAGACGCCCGATTCAGCAGGAGTGTTGGCTTTTTGATGCATTACTCTTTGCATTAACTGGCAGCTCCATTTGCGATTTATTAAGTAAAAAAATACAGTCAATTGTTTCATTATAAACATTTTTTTGATTCACGAGTATCATAACGACTTTATTGTCGCCTTTCCAATAAAAATTGTTAAACGTTTTTATGAGTAAAATATCATTTTCTACCAAAAATATTATTGCATAGGCGCCACAAATAGTCAAACATGTTAATGTTGAATGTTGATAAATATAAAAAATGTTACTGTTTGCCGAATCTCAAATTGTAAATACAAATGGTGCACATTTAACTGTATCAGCCTTTATAACATGTTCATTCTGGCTAAAAGGTTTCAAGTGAGTGAATCTTTTAGAATTTCACAAGGGTTTATTGTAGCTATAGTTGAACGGATGATTGTTAAAAGGTATAACTGTTATATTTTTGTTTTGAGAAAAACGCAACTCTGAGGCAGTTTGTGTAATTTGAAAATAAAAAAATTATTGTCCAGAATTAATGGGCTTATTCGACTCTCCACTGCACCGCACGGGGGTTTATTGTAGTTCAGACCTGTTCAAACTCGACCAAATAATTCCAGCTTCTCACCAAAGCTAATTATTTCATTTGTAATTAGTAGTATTATGGAAAAAATACAGTTTCTATTAATGGAGAAAATATTTGTTTAAAACTTGTTCTTATACATACATGAAGTGACTATTTTTTTAATGTTATTGAAGGAAAGGTTGATGAAAGTTGAACGTTTTTTTTGATTGGTGGAATTTTAATTAATTCAGTCAAGATCAATTCTAAAAATATGGGAAACACATGTTCATTCATCTTAATTTTTAGTTTTTTCTCTCTTTGTTCGAGGAAACATGAACTTTTTTTATTTGGCATTATCTAATTTTCATTTTGAAGTTTTGTGTTTTTTGGGTCACCTTCAAAATTCCCTATCATCATGAAGAAATGAAACCAAAATTTGATAACGCTAATGAAAGAAAGAAAACGTATTAATTGAAAAATATATAATGAATATTTTCGAGAAATATGAAAATATGGTATTTGCTGAATATGGAGTTGAATATTATTATTTTTTTTTACGTAAACATACACATTTTTTATGTATATTATATGATTGTAGTTATTGGATATGCAATCAGTAAAATTAAAAGCAAAGTCATTGTTGTTGTTCACATTCTCAACCTGATAATGTGAAATTTGTGAATAAACTTAGAATCCTAAGTTGAAGTCAGATTGATTGATTTCGAAAGGATTCATTGCAAATTGACGTGTTTTTGAATTTATGCATTTCGTTTGACTTCATTATTTTCATCATTTAAAATAGTAGAATCTGCGTAAATAATTTTCTGGTCTAAACTATTGACATGTTGAGATAATGTACACGAATTCAAATTTCTCCTATTGTGACTTCTGAATGATGTAATTCTACCTTCCAAGAGTCTAGATTTTGTCTGATATACACTTCATCATAATCTAAACATGGAATTTAGTATACAACATTGAATATCAATAATAATTTGCAGAATGTGTTATCACCCAATGTATAAATTTAATAACTTGTAAATTTGCAATCAATATTATCAAAATCAATGAAGGTGACTTTAACTAAAGGTGCTAAATTTATTAATCTGACAAATTTCACATCCCCAATTGAAATAAATATTTCAATATTTGTTGTTTACATAACATTTGTAATATCTATATAGTTGCCCTGATGAATGCTTGGCTAAATAACAAAGAGTTTTCTTTGAATTTCACTGATTGCAATAATTATAATCATATCATAATAGGTACAATCAAGATTTTCATTCCAGCTCTCTAATATATAATACTTTGGTTTATTTCACTTTTCAATGTTTTGTCTTTGAATATTTGGGTAACTTTAATATGTGTAATTGAATATATCAAAAGGTCTATCAGTATTTTTGAAGGTTTAGTTCTTATTGTGTTGTGAATAATTGTGTCTAGGAAATAGGAAGTTTGTTATACTTTTTACATATATTTTTGAAATCTCTTTTATTTTTACTTAATATCATTTTCATAAACTTCTTTCATATGTTATTAAGATTTTTTACTTCAATCGTGCAATAATAGAAAATATTTGAATTACAGAAAATGTTGCTCAGTGCTGTGCTGTTTGACACACTTGAAAGTTTTCATTAAATTTGTGTTACAAAATCTCAGATTTTGTATAAATTTGTTACAATATCATTTATGTATTTTCAGTATTTTTTCAATAGTCTGTATTGGAAGAATTTAAAACTATTTAAAGAGATCATGCTGCCATAAATGTATTTTACGTGGATGTGTGTCTAGTTTGTTAATGTTGGTGTGCCAAATGTCAACAACAGTCTTTTGGGAATAATTCTTCATTCAGAAATTATCCAACAAGAAACAGATCATTTAATGATTTCTCAAAACCTATACTATAGTTGGCAGTTGGCATTAAACTAGCCAAAACTTTGCTTCTAGGTTTGAATTGCCTCATATAAATATATTAGTGTTGATATATTTTTTATAAATATTATCGATATTTAGGTTTTAATAAATGTTGGCTTGTGATAAATGAGTTGTTGAATGTATTTTTGATCTTTTTACCAATCAAACAGATGGTGGTCATTATCATTTCCACTATCCAAATAGCTTTTATCAATCGTTGAATTTTCAGTAACAAACTTGAGCATTTGAGATTTAGCAGAATTAGCAGCTTTTGAATAAAATTTCGTAAGATCATTTATAAAAACCAAAAATAGAAGGGGTCCCAAAACAGAGCCTTGAGGTACCCCTCTTGAAATACATTTTCTTTCAGAATTCATTCCATTCACACAGACCAGCTGACTACGATCAGTCAGGTAAGATCCAACCCAATTCAATGCAGAACCACGTATACCATAAAACTGCAATACGTGTAACAGTATGTCATGGTAAATGAGATGAAAGGCTTTGCTCAAATCAAAAAATAATTCTGAAGTCTGCTGTTTGGTTTCCACGATTTCTAGCGCATGTTTAATGAGTTGATCAATTGCACCAACTGTAGATTTATTTCTTCCATAAGCATTCTGACTAGAAGAAAATAATTTGGATGATTCAAAGTAATCATATAATCTTTGACAGAAACAGTATTCGATAATCTTAGAAAACTGACTAAGTAGCGATGTGGGCCTGTAAGATGCACAGTCAGATCCAGAGCCCTTATTTTTGTATATTGGTAAAACCTTTGACATTTTTAGTACATCAGGAAACCTCCCCTCAATGAAAGTGGAGTTAACTATATGAGTCAAAGGCTCAGAAATCGCATTGGCAACCTTTTTAATAACATGACCAGGAATTTCATCAATACCGGACGATTTTTTCATACAAACTTTTTTGATAACTTGTTCAATATCCATTTTAGTTTCTGGATATAAATAAATACTTTGATGACCAGATGATCTTTATGTTTTTGACAAAAAAAATCCACTGAAATAGTAAAGAAACAATCTTCTCTGTGTCTTTTATATCAATTTATTGTAGCAGTACCTTAGAACATTTGAACTGAAGATGCATTCTCTTAAACTCATTTTCACTTATAAAATTGTTGAATTTGAAATGGAAACATAGACCAACGACAACTTTGATAAAAAGATCCTTCGAGTTTTTCATTTCCATAACATTTACACTGAGTTTCAATGGCTCGCACAGTTTGGCCGATATATTTTTTGTCATATATCATTCCATATATTTCCGACTTTTCATTTTCCTTCCTCCTATCTATAGGGTTACCTAACATTTGTTGAAGTGAGCAAGAAGTTTTGAAGGGTACTTTCACAAGGGTACTTTTAGATTCATTTCTGACAGCTCACACCATTGTCTAAAACACAAAATAGCATGTCTAAACTTTCTTGTCTGCAAGCTTGCTTTGTTCCTCTTAAGTACATGCCCACATACGTGTTTTTTAATAGCAGTGCATATTGAACACAACCCACAACTCATACCCAAATCTATATCACTTCTTCCAGTATGCAAGATGACAGCAAGCCAGCAACATCTTCTCGATTTACAATCTGAATTTGAGGATGAATAAACTCAGCAAAAAAGAAAAAAATGAAATGTATGAGTATTTACGAAAAAAGAGACAGTCATGGAGAGTTCAAGTTATCATATAACACAGGAAAGCTCCTTACAATTTCAGGGAATTTTTCCATTTTCCAGTTAGAAAAAACTGATCACATTGCATAGGCGTACTGCATTCAAATCATTTACTTCTAACGAATTGAATAAATGAATGCAGGACATTTTCTGTGATGATTCCTGCAATGACGCCTGTTGGATATAATCCAACGCCCTTCGTGGTATTAGCTAGTGGAGTAGTTTTCTGATAGGCGTCAGTCCATTCAACCTACTGTGTAGGTATATTCGAGAATGGCTTGGACGTTTAAAGTTCATTTCTTTAGATTTGTTTACTGCCAGTCTTCAAGCATAGCCCACTGACTAATAAGAAAGTTTTTCTTCCTTATTCAGAGGAATCGGGCAAATTACGGATATGCAGTTGGGTAGTACCTCGTCCACTAGATGGAGTGACATTTTGTTGTTCGCTCCAACTTAAGAAGAGGAATGATATACTCTGAAAGAATTCTGATTTCCAATTAATGATCAGAACGATTCTAATGCCAATAATACTGTATGCATGCACTGCCTGGGGCCAGTGTGCGCAGACATACAGAAAGAAGATCCAATCATTTATGAATGCGAGCGTAAGGGCCGCTGTAAATGCACCTTACTATATACCCAACAGATTCATATACAGAGATCTAGACCTGGACACGCAATATAAGGTTTATTTTGCTTAATATAATTGTTATTTCCAGCTATTCATTTTTAATTCTTCTTTTTTAGTTGTTTCAGGGATTTCTAATCATTTTATATAGTAGACAATGGAAATCCGAATTAGTGAAATTCATCATGAAACATTGTCAATCACCTTCAAACAAAGAGTCAAAGCAGATACCCATAATTATCAAACTGAGCAATTGTCAGTAAAAACTGGACTCTTATTTCATCATTCACAATAGTTTATCGGTGGAATTGAATCAAGTACTTCCATATTAAAAAACATATCTGAAGCAACAATGTTTACAAAATTTCGTGATATTTTGGCACATATACTTTTTGTTCTATAAATGTTTCTTTAAAACAATGTGTTATCATAACTTTTTTCAAAATTGAAAGCAAAATGACAAAAAAGTTTGATCCATGATTCAACGATGACTTGAACAATGACTTAAAATATAAGCAAGTTTTCATTTATTGATGAAAGTTGACTATTGATGAAGAGTTGACTATCTTTACCAAAAATTTTTTTCCATGTCTAAAAAAAATTAAAAATCACAGCTTCAAAAACTACCCTGAAATAATAAGAACACATGAATATTGTTTGACGTTTTTATTAACCAAATCAATAATACATTAAATAAATCCAAGATATAAAATATCTCTTCACATGTACATAATCACAGATTTCATTTCAAAACACTTCAGTGTGTGTCAACAATGTTGTCAAATAGTTCAAATATTTTGAGAGATCAGTTCTGAAACACTAGTTAGGAAACCAGCAATACAGAAAAAATCTAGGCAAAATAAAGAATGATAATTGGACAACTAAGGAAAAATGATAGAGCGCATATAATCAATAGCAAAATGATAAACCCAGCAAAACATGCAAAGAATAAGAAAAATTCTTTCAGAAACAACCTCTAAAACGCATCAAGCTATTTACCAAAAATGAAGACCAACACACTAAATATTCATATTTTGAATTTGAAGCCGGGTGAACTGCCATATGAAAACTTATGGGATCTACTCTTAGGCGGACTTGAGACCTCATGACCAAAAAGAAAGTCATCTACTTCAGCAGCTTCCGACTGCTCCGTTTCCCTGTTGCTTTCTGTTTCTTCGTAATCCCGGTAGGATGGGTGAATTTTTTTACCAGACCTGAAATCGAATAATTTGTAAGTTTCCTTGAAAATATAAAGTATTATGAGGTAAGTAATATTCCATTATTCATATGAGAAATTATAGTACTTCAAGCTTCGATATACTATAAAATATTTAGGAAAAAAAGGTTTTGGCTTTCTACTTCTCCATCTTTATGCAATTTGATATTTTGTTTAAAAATATTTCTCTGGAATAGTCTAAGGATATAGTTGAAATTGACAGCTGTTTATTGATAGTTCGTACTGGAACCTCTGTCGAAACGTGATTCTATTGAAAACACTTTCCCAGACCTAAAATTAAGGTCTCTCGACGCGCTTTTCGCTAACTAGGTGATCATTATGATTGTCATAATGATGCTGGTTACCTGATTAATTTATCGGGCTGTTTCAACAGCAGTTTGGTTCAATTTGAATTTGAAATCCTAATTTAATAAAGACTTCCGTTGTCATTCCACTACATATAGGTGGTGATTTGGATAATCCCTCCAATCTGCGTCCTATTTCCTTAATACTGACTTTAGAAAAAATTATTGAGAAAGTAGTCAAAGTACGTTTACTGTACTGTATTATAAGCAAAAACCAGTTTGGGTTTCAGGCGAAAAAAGATACAAATGATGCTATCTTCTCTTTTTTATATGAAATTTACTCTGAATTGAATGCTGGTGAAGTAGCCGCCGCAATTTTTTGCGATATTTCAAAGGCGTTTGATTGCGTCAATCATAAAATTTTATTATAAAAACTTCATAAATATGGATGTAGAGGTGTAACGAACACTTGGTTCAAATCGTACCTTTCAGGACAGAATCAAATGGAGAGGACAATGGAACTCTCGGAGAACAGGGCCATTGAATCTGGTGTACCACACGTTTCTGTGTTAAGCCCTATTCTATTTCTGCTATATATGAATGACATCTCTATGATTGACATATCTGGTAGGTAGTTTCACTATATTCGCGGATGATACTACAATATTGTGGAATGAAAAAACTCGGTGGAGCTAAATAAAATAACTGGTGGAATATAAATTTTAAATCGAAATCTTCTAAATTATTACTGTTTTTATTCCTCTTAAAATCTTATGATTTAGAAGTTACTATTCAAGAAGATAAAAGAGTTACCTGCCAATTTGCAACTTGTATCGATAACATAATTACAGATATTGACGGAAATCGTACCGTAGGAATATATGATCCATGGGACAATACATAAGCGTCCCTTTAAAAGGATCGTAAACAACAGTGGATTACAGAAGACAGATGATGAAAAAATCAATAGCAATGTTGAGTGACCTGATAAGAAAAGCATATTGGCATTTATTTTTTCAATATTTGGGTAATGATGTAAACAAATCTGCCGATTGGTTGGTCAGTACTTACAATAACCTTGTAAAGAATTGTTTTCCCCTAGAAAGATGTCCCCCAAATAAGGCGCCAGTAAAATGGTCCAATGAATTAATTAATATATTGAACAATAATCCTTCACTGATATATTTCATATTTGTGAAGTATGTTACTTTACAACATATTTTTAATGTGTATGTTATACTATATTGTGCTGTCCTTTTAAAACTAAATGTAACAAAAAGTTTTTTTTTTATTGATTTATATATAGCACATCTCTCTCTATGACCATTTCTGATATATGACATGCTGTAAACTTATTGTAAAACAGTCAAATCTATCTATCATCCGACTTGAAGACGAAGAGCTGGTGTGATGCAAATTCACTCTCTCTCAATGAATCCAAAACGAATATAATATCAGTAAAATGTTCACTTGATGAAAATCCAATAGTCGCTGCCATATTACAAAATAAATTAAACACAAAATTTCTTGATGTATTCATTGATAATAAGTTTAAATTTGATGAACACCTAAACCAACTCAAGAGTTAGATTTCCTCCGGATATTATGCAGTCAGAGTGGTTTCAAATGAGTTGGGTTTCCATATCGCAAAGACCGTTTACAGAATAGAATTCTGCACCCCCCTAGCATAGATCGTTTTTCATTTCACTTCTGAACTGAATAAAGTATTATTATCAACTTTTCATAATGAAAAATGCCAGTTTGACTGGTGAAGTTTGGAAAAAAGTCCTTACCTTTCCAAAACAAACGGATCAAATGGATAATAACCATCTAAAATGTTATTGGACATGACAACAGTTCCGTTGGCACTTTGATATATTGTTGGCAATACATTTCTTGAATTGTGATCTATCACTGTATAGCAGTAAGCCAACTGATACTTCCTAGTAATAGCTGCAAAATTCTGTACGACTGCTGGCTGACAAACCCTCAAAGGGTTCAACCTGCTTGTAACCATCTTCGCCATGTTCAAACTCTCAAGAAAAACAATACCTGTAACAAGAGATTATTAATACAAGACAATATAAGAAGAACTTCGTCATAAAATGAATTAGAATAAATACTATTTATTCATCAAATATTTTCATAGAATGTAATAAATGGAAGAGTACATTTGAAAATATTACTCAACTAATTTCATAAACTACACCTTATGATTTGATCTCCACAAACTTTATTTGAAAAATATATTACATGTTTCGCTAACACAGTAGCTTCTTCAACAGTGATTTGAATACTACAAGTTGCTTCTTACGCTAATATTTATATACCACAGGTAACAATTGCGACTACCTCCATCAAATTACCTAAACCTCTACTCTAGAGGTTCCTCTACTCTACCTCTACTCTAGAGGTTTAGGTAAGAAGCAACTTGTAGTATTCAAATCACTGTTGAGGAAGATGCTGTGTCAGCGAAATATGTCGTGATATATAGTTTATGAAATTACTATGGATCTTCATCAAGTAAGGGCCGAATCAATCAGAAAATTACTTAACTAGTACACTCTCAGATAAACCAAGAGTATTCAAAAATTTGGTTAATCATGGTTGAATTTGGTTCAAAAGATCACCGCCGAGAGTGTTTGCAAACATGTTCTGAACTGTTTAAGGTACTGCTTACACATAAAGAAAGATGTTTGAATGGGTGAGATTTGACTATACTCATTAAATTCAAAATGGGAGGATATCAATACCACCAAAACACGACTAAATCCATACAAGACTTGAACAAGTATCAGACTATCAATGTGCACTATAAATCATTTTCATTAATCCATCAAGTATTTTGATCCATACGTAAGGCTCTTAAATACAGAGCTTAACTTTTGAGAGAGGTAACATATTAGAGTTGGACAAAATGTTTCTAAAAAGAAATAATTTTCAGTACTATTTGATAGTACAGCCAAAAGTGCGGCATCACTTGCCGCCGAGAGGGCGCTATCAATTTTTTATCAAATTAAGTGTCTTTAGCCTTTAGTTACGAAAACGTATACCGCCAGATGGCAGTGCGATTTCGCCCGATGAAATAAATACAAACTCCCCCCTAATTCTAACTTGACCAGGCCGGGGCATTCCAGGGCCGAACTTTATTCGCCGACGTGTTCGTTCTTCCAAATTACATTTTAGATTAAAACATGTTCGTTTTCGTGTTGATCTCAAAGTTTGCACGAAAATTGCAGATTATTTGAAAATTATGAATCTTTTATCAAAATTGATAAATTCAAGATGCGGACGAGATTTGTGATTAGGGCCCGATTTGACTTGCTATAAGGAAGTTTTCGGGGTCAGAGATTATGAATCTTTTGTCAAACTTAACGAATTCAAGATGACGGTTCCAAGATATCGAACGAGATATGTGATTATGGTCCGAATCGATTTGAAATTAGTATGTGGATTTTTTTGGGCTCGTAGAGTATAAATGTATTGTCAAAATTAATGAATTCAAGGTGACGGACAAGTTGTGTTATCCGATTCATATTTGGTACAATGGGGTTTT